TAGTTCCTAACTTGCCCATATTTCCAGTCTCCTTGAGGAAGAGAATAGAGGTACTATGTGAAAGCTGGGATGGCTATTGGTTTGTTCATTTGGTTGGGCTAATGAAAGTTGCAGTGGGAATATTAAGTAAACAAGGTGTGTGTGTGTGTGTGTGTGTGTGTGTGTGTGTGTGTGTGTATGAGTGTGAGTGAATGTGTGTACGTGAGTGTGTGTAAGCACCTTTGTGTATATATGTGTGTATGTGTGTATGTGCAAGTGTGTATATGAGTGCCTTTGTGTATGTATGTGTGTGTGAATGTGTGTGAATGAATGTGTGTATATGTGTGTGAGTGGGTGTGAGTAGGTGTATATGTGAGTGTGTGTGAGTCCATGTGAAAGGGACAGTATACATGGAAAATAGTAAGCTTTGTATTCTTAAAACTTATGTAATAATATCTTTGTTGTGACAGTTTTACATGAAAGCTATACTCTCTTCTGCACAAATCATTCTTTTAGGTAAGAAACTCTAAAACCCTAGTTCTTTGGATCCCAGAGCATGCTTCATTCCCAGACTACAGTGTACATTCACAGTTACATTATTTGTGCCAGCACATGATTGCTCCATGTAGATTTGAATGAATGCTCATAAACAGATAGACAGGGAACATATTTGTGTCAGTATATCTGAAGAGAAGATCTGTTCAGCCACAAGTGGACATCCATACTTAAACAGAGATCACTGTCGAGAAAGTAGTAAGGGTGCATATAAGAGGGCTGTTTCCTCCTCTGCACACACACACACACACACACACACACACACACACACACACACACTTCATGTGTGTGGAAAGGCAGAATGCGTGTCTTCTTTATTTCCCTATGCAAACCTTGACTCTGTTAAGACACTTGAGATTGCAAATCCTGCTTGGGTTAAGAAGGCCTGTGCATTTACTGTGCGGTGTCCCAGGGAAATCAATCTAATCTATGGAATATAATGTCAGTGCTTAATTTTCTTTGAGAAAACAACAGTGCTTTTAGGGTGGTTGTTTTGTTTCTTAGTAAAACTCTCATTAACTCTGGATTTGACTTTTACACATGGACATTTTTCTTGGTCTCAGTGTGTCTGGCTGTTTGTGCATGAACCAAAAATGCCCAGTGCCATTAACAAAGTATCCTATATCTTCTTCCTCTTCCTTCCAACTAGGAAGCAGCTAAGTTAATTATAAACCAAATTCTGAATAGTTTCCCACAGAATCCCACTGACTCAAGTCTATAAATGATGTAATAAGTGGCCTTACAATATTTTTTCATGTATATTTTCCAATTGTATTTTAGGGCAACATTAAAATTATTTACCATAACATTAGTTCATAAATTTAATATCTGAAACTCCAAAGGTTTTCATAGCCACTAATTGGTAGAATTGAATTTTAAATGAGTATCTTTGATTTTCAGTTAATATAAATTTTCAGATGCTGTTTCCTGTGGAGTAAGTGGACATAATAAGGATTAAATATACTATATTGAAGTTTAAATAATAAAGATTTACTACTGTGTGTGTTTGTGTGTGTGTGTATGTGTGTTCCTTATAGCAATGCAATATTAAAATCTGGTTAATACAGACCTTCTCAGACTAGAATTCCAAAATAACCAAGGAAATCTGTTAATTTATAATGTAAGCGTTACTGAGGCACTTTGGCTTGAACTCTACCAGAGAGTGAGAAAATGTGCTACTCCTGACTCTGACACAGTGCTCACTTCAGTGTGTCCATTAAAACTACAGAATTTCAGCAACATCCTCTTCTATTCGGTCTTGATCTCACTTGTGATATTCAGGAAGAAGTATATGAAAAAATGAGGACAGTTGAAGGACATTAGAGATGACACAAGAAGTAAATGGAGTATGAATAATGAAAGATTTTTCCTTTCAGCGATAAGCTTGGAAGTCTTCCATTTCTAACCAAAGGCAGGGGAGTTTACAGCACTCCAACAGGAGAGAGTTTGAAGAAAGCAATCTCAAGACTTTTGGGTTGAAGATATATTTGCATGGAGTGTCACACATGTTAGTTCCAAGATATAAAATGTTGCAAAGGAAGCAAGACCTGAAAACCATACATAATCACAATTGATTTTAAAATAGTCCATTGCTGTGTGATTATGTAGATTGCCTCCAATAATGGAGAGTCTTTGTTTATGAATTTAAGTTGGCCACTTGATATGTGTTGATCAATAAGACATTAGCAAAAAAAACCTCCTGGTCACTTGTGTGTCTGAGCTGCCTGATTCTGCTCTGGGAACTCTAAGGTTATCACATGAAAGAGTCTAAGACAGATTACTTGCACAAGGGACACCACTGAGAACTATGACAGCTGGCCAGATGTCAGACAGACCAGCAAAGATCTCCTTCAGGGACCACTGCCAGCTTGTCTCCCAATTTCCCGAACATACATGATAGACCAGCATGGGTCTGACCAAAAGAGACCTCTGCAGAGTCCTCAGTGGTATAAAACAGTGGCTGAGTTCTGTGATAGCTATAATGCAGTATGCTCTGATCCACATGACAACAAATTGCTACCATTGAAGTCTGAGCTTCAAGTTATGATCTCAGAGAAAATGCACATAGCACTATTGACAAAATGGTACATTCAGCTTCATGCTTGCTAGCAACTGGGTCCAGGAGACACGTTCTTTGTGCTAGACAATTAACACAATGATTGTCTTTTATGGAAAATAAGAAAATAGTTTGTGCTGCACCACATAGGATTGACTATGGATCAGAAATATGGGTTCAAATTACCCCGAATGTTTTTTATTATTATTTATATTAGGAAAAAGACATAAGGCAGAGAACAGGAAAGGCTGTAAATCAGTACTTTTATCTGATACATTGGTGGTAGCATTAGGTTGGCGGACTTCAGTCAAGTAGGGAAATCTCTTATATGGATTTCAGATGTTGAAACTTTCTTAACTTTAAGGTTGGCCAGTGCTAGAGATCTAGTGAAAGAGCAACATCATATTTCAAGAGTGTTATTTAAGGTCCACTGAAATGTTAAGTTTAAGAAGCTATGAAAGCAGACAAGATAAATTGGGTTCTCAATAGGCAACATTTTATCTCTTTACAATCATAATGCCCCCAATCAATGTCCAACAATCTATAGATGTGGCTTCTTCAGAGAACTCCAGCTCCAAGAATGTATTGTAAGCCTTGTAGACAGTGTATGGAGGTTTTTATTGTTGTTGTTTTGTTTGTTTGTTTGTTTGGTTGGTGTGTGTGTGTGTGTGTGTGTGTGTGTGTGTGTGTGTGTGTGTGTGTTGGGACAAGCAACTGAAAGCAATGATTTAAAAAGAAGAAAAACTTCTTTGTGTCTTAGTTTTAGAAATGAAAGTGTACAACTGGCTCTGTTGTTTCTGAGCCTGTGATGAGGCAGAACATAAAAAGAGCAAGGGATGGAGTAGAGCTGTCCATCTATCTCATGGAGTTCAAGAAACAGAGAGAGGGAAATGAGCCTGGGGTGAAACAAGTTCCTCAAGAATATGCCCCTCTACCAAAGGCTCCCATTACCTCCAATGAATCTATCAAAAAGATGAATTCATCAGTGAATTAACCTGTTATTAATCTAGAGTTTTCATGATCCAATCACTTTTCAGTGATGCTGGTCTGTAGAGGTTGGAAGAGGACCATGGATCTCCTTGAACCGGAGTCACAGATGGTTCTGAGCCACCATGTGGTCATGTGGGTGCTGGAAACAGAACCCAGGTCCTCTTGCTTATGAGCTAGTGCTCTTACCTGCTGTACCATCTGCTCTGCCCCAGCATGAGATCATGTTAGGGGAATACTCTGTATCTAAACTGTGATATACAGGGAGACCATATCTTCAGTCTCACAGGCCCTCTGGCCTCTTTGAGTGTCAGAATTTTCATCTGTAAAATAGAATAAAAAGTCTTTTTAAAAAAAAAAAACATATATGTTGCCAGTTACTAAGTTCACTGACAAGCATATAGTGAATGCTCCAAAAAAGAAAAATTGCCATGCACTGTCAGTTTTGGAGATCATAAAGTTGTAAAAGAGGTTGATCTGGGGGTCACACCCTCACAGAGGCCTGGGTTCTTGTTCAATTCAACAAAGAATTTATGGTCAGAAATAGAGTGCTAAATATTTATTTAGAAGAGAAAGCATGAGAGAAAACATAAGCATACCTACTGGGTGAGTGAGGATTCACTGTGGGCAGTTGGATGCATTTTCATTAAGTTAGAGATTTGGATGAGAGGTTGAGAAGTGTTTAGGGGAGGTCAATTAAATAGGTCTACATTTTAGCACAATTCTTTCATAACAAGTTGCATATCTGAACCTTGGGCTCCGGGATATCATTGATTTGAAGTTGCAGAATATGTACAATGACCAAATCGTACCTTAAAATTGTCCTTACTGTCAAAGGGCCACCAGTAGAAGGATATATGCTCATTTGGTGAGGGTTTTAGGCAACCACATGTACTTGGGGAATTTATAGTTGGCAATGATTTCAAAAGCATGTGGGCATGTGGGACTGCTTTCCTTACTTATTGATTGAGAGAGACTGGCAATTTGTCTCCTAGTATGTAACAGATTGAGGGACAGGTATAGCAAGGGGTTCAGGCATTATTCCAGGTCCTTAATTCCTTGACTAATGATCCTTGCTCAAAGATACTTTTGTGAGTAAGAATTTCACACCTACAATAGGAAAAGTTTTCATGTGTGCTGTTGGAATCACTTCTGCTGTTTTTCTGATTCATCTGTTCCTGTGGATTACTGTTCAAGAAGGACCATCATCTGGCATGACACCAAGATGATGAAGAAACATAACAATGAAATCTAATAGGAGTCCTTGGCCATACATCTTATCCATGATGCTTCCTTGAATTAAGAGGATATTATATAACATAGAGAAATAGAAAAATAAATTTATTTATAGTTTGGGCCAAAATTGAGCAGAAAGAAATTCACAATCTGTTTCCACCTTGTCCATAAAAATGTCATAACTTACCAAAGGTGAACCAAAATCCAGGGACTCTCCATGGGCAAACAATGTTTCTCCTGATATCAAGGCTCTTGAAAAGAATCTTCCTAGAGTAATCCTAGGCATCCATGGTTATTGATCAGTGTAGTCATCTTGATTGGATTCTGAATCTTTGTGAAGGTTGCAAGGCAAACTTCCTGATGTGCATATGTTTATGATGTCTGAGGACGTTTCAAGAGAGGTTAAATCAAAGGGCAAAGATCTGTGACAGTGTGGCCCTCACATCCAACAAGCTGGGGAAACAATGGAATAAAAGAGAAAAAAGGATAAAGTCAGTGGGATGGTATCATTCTTTTTTTTTTTTTTTTTTTTTTTGTGCTCCCTAACCTGCTGTGATGTGAATTCAGTTGCTTTGATACCTCTTCCTTAACCTTGATGAACTGAGTTCTCTGAAATCATGAACCAATAGATCTCTCTTCCTTTAAGTTGTCCAGGTCAGGTAAATTAGACCCAACGGAAGTCAGCAAAACTCTAAACAGATGAGATCTGATGGTTAATATGCAAGCATATTCATCAACACCATTCATCCACTGAGCCATTGCTGGTGAGCTGGAACTTCTGCTGTGTAGGTGCATAGAGCTAGAAACAAAGACAGTGAAATAAAATTAGCATGTTCAACTGCTTATTGTCAAAAATATCTCTTATTAGTCCCACAAATTATTCCATTAAGTTTTATACTCAGGAATTGATTTAATATTAATGAAGGAATAATCACCAGTTGAACAAATGAGCTGTATTTTGTGATTGGTATAAGTTGTAAAATCTTATTTTAATAATAAAAATATGTAAATTTAAGTGAACAGGAAAATAAATAAACTTTTGATTTCATGTTATGCATGTGTTTAAAAAACAATAATGTCATGGGAAGGCCAGCAAGATGTTTCAGCTGGTAAACATGCTTGCTGCATAGCTTGACTACTTGAATTTGTACCCCAGAATCCATATGGTTGTAGGAGAGAACTGACTCTTACTAGGTGTTCTCTGTAAACACACACACACACACACACACACACACACACACACACACACACACACACACTAAATAAAAGTAAATTATTTTTAAATAAATAAAATTTAAAAATAAAAAGAATACCGTAGTATTTTGTTTCTACTAAAATTATAATTTTATTGTTTTAAAGAGAAATTAGAAGTAATATTTTTCACTCTAAAACATGTGAAAGTATAGGGAAAGTTCTTTTAAAGCTATGTCTACATAAATAAAGAAATCATCAGGACTCAAACTAAAGTAGATCTTAGCAAAGAAACTGGTGAGCGCACCCATGCATTCTGTGTATCCCCTGGTAACTTCAAGCCTTCTTTCCAACAAGAGTCTGGGCCCTCCATGCTTTCACAGTTAAAAGAAAGCCTACATGAGCTGATGAATTAATGGGGCCACAGCCTCAGTAAATACACACACCATAATAAAATACACCTCAACAGTAACATGATTTTTCTGTGGGATTGAATAGAATTGAAAGTAAAAGTGTAAGCCCATTTCTCATAGGAGAAAATTTTTAATTTTAGAAAAAAATACATATTTTGTCCCCCAAATCCTATGAATTATTATCAAAATTCAGGAACTGGAAAATTTCTGAAAATTCAATGACACAAAAATTAAAACTTCATATATTTTTTTTCAAAATAAACTACTAGCAACATAATGGTAGACAAAAGGACTTGGTGCAATTATTTATCATGTGTCCCCTTAATCAAAGATTCAAGTTACATGATAGAAAAATGGTCAAAAGATATAAACAGCCATTGTGTTAAAAAAGGAAATTTATCATCTAAAGAGGGGCAGTGGTAATAAATCTCATTTTGAATATGGGTATGAGAAAGGCAAAACACAATGTCATAAGGAGTTCCTATATTATATTCACTAAATAAGAAATACATTTTTTTCTTTTCTTTCTTTCTTTCTTTCTTTTTTTTTTTTTTTTGAGAACTGAAGACTGAACCAAAGGCCTTGCTTTTGCTAGCCATGTGCTCTATGGCTGAGCTAAATCTCCAACCTAATAAATATTTTTTTCTCTTTTTAATAATTTTTTTCATTTATTTTACATAAAAACCACGGTTTCCCCTCCCTCCTCTCTTTCCATTCCCTCCCTATATCTCCCATCTACCCCACCACCACCATCTGCTCCTCTTTCAGAAAGGGGCAGGCCTCCCATAGGAGTCAACAAAGCAAAGCATATCAAGTTGAGACAGGACCAAGCCCCTCCCTCTGCATCATGGCTGAGCAAGGCATCCAGGCATAGAGAATAGGTTCCAAAAAGCCAGCTCATGTGCCTGATACAGGTCCTGATCCCACTGCAAGGGGCCACACAAGCAGACCAGGCTACACAGCTGTCATCCACAGGCAGAGGGCCTCGGTCAGTCCCATGCAGGCTCCCTAGCTGTCAGTTCAGAGTCTGTCAGCTCCCACTAGCTCAGGTCAGTTGTCTCTGTGGGTTTCCTGTCATGCCTTTGATGCCCCTGGTTTGTACAATCCCACCTCCCTCTCTTCAATTGGACTCCTGGAGCTCAGCCTAGTGCTTGGCTGTGGATCTCTGCATTTGCTTCCTTCAGTTACTAGATGAAGGCTCTCTGATGACAATTATGGTAGTCACCAATCTGATTATAGGAGAAGACCAGTTCAGGCACCCTCTCCACTATTGCTAAGAGTTTTAACTGGGGTCATCCTTGTGGATTCCTGGCAGTTCCCCTGACACCAGGTTTCCCCCTAACCCCAAAATGGTCCCTCTCTATCAAGGTGTCTTTTTCATTGTTCTCCCCCTCCATTCCACCCCCAACTAAACCAACCCGATCTCTCATGTTCCCATCCACCCAACCTCTCCCCCTGACCCTCCCACCCCCAGTTTACCCTGGAGATTTCACCTATTTCCCCTTTCCAGGGAAGTCCATGCATCCCTCTTAAGTTCCTCTTTGTTATCTAGCTTCTCTGAGGCTATGGATCGTAGCCTGGTTATCCTTTGCTTCACATCTACTATCTACTTATGAGTAAGTCCATATTGTGTTTGTCTTTCTGGGTTTGATTTACCTCACTCAGGATGATTTATTTTTCTAGTTCCATCCATTTGCCTGCAAATTTCATGTCATAATTTTTTATAGTTGAGCAGCGCTCCATTGTGTAAATGTACCACATTTTCTTTATCTACTCTTCAGTTGAGGGGCATCTAGATTGTTCTGGCTATTACAAACAATGCTGCTATGAACATAGTTGAGCAAGTGTCCTTGTAGTATATGATTGAACATTCTTTGGGTATATGTCCAATATTGGTATAGCTGAGTCTTGAGGTAGATTGATTGCCAATTTTCTGAGAAACTGCCATACTGATTTCCAAAGTGGCTGTTCAAGTCCAGCAGTGGAGGACTGTTCATCTTACTCCACATCCTCTCCAACATAGGCTATTGTTGGAGAATATTATTTTAAGTTGTGTTACTTTTGTTTATGTTGCATATGTTTAACTCTGTGAAGCTATGTTGCTGTACCTGTCTAAAATATCTGATAGTCTAATAAAGAACTGAATGGCTAATAGTGAGGCAGGAGAAAGGATAGGTGGGACTGGCAGGCAGAGAGAAGAAATAGAAGGAGAAATCTGGGCAAAGGAGAAGAAATAGCCAGAGAAGGAGGGATACATCAAGGGCCAGCCACCCAGCTACACAGCCAGCCGTGGAATAAAAAATAATGAAGGTATACAGAAATAGAGAAAGGTAAAAGCCCAAAGGCAAAAACTAGGTGAGATAAGTAAAGCTGGCTAGCAACAAGCCATGCTAAAACCAGACATTTATAATTAAGAATAAACCTCTGTGTGTGATTTGTTTGGGAGATGAGTAGCGAGGTCCCCAAAAGAGTAAGAATAAAAAACTAGCAACAAGCTGTAGCATTTTTGGTCTTAGTCATTCTTACAGGTGTAAGATTACCATCTCAGAGTCATTTTGATTTGCATTTCCCTGATAGCTAAGGATGCTGAACATTTCTTTAAGTGTTTCTCAGCCATTTGAGAATCTTCTGTTGATAAATATCTGTTTAAATCTGTACTCCATTTTAAAATTGGATTATTTGGTGTTTTGATGTCTAGTTTTCTGAGTTCTTTGGAGATCAGCACTCCGTTAGATGTGGGAAAGGTAAAGACCTTTTTCCATTCTGTAGGCTGCTGTTTTGTTTTATTGACAGTGTCCTTTGCCTTACAGAAGCTTTTCAGTTTCCGGAGTTCCTCTTTACTCTCAAAAGCCTTTTTCTGTCTTAGGTGGTCATGTATCCCACCTTTGTGTGCCTGGTTGCAAAATAAAGGGATTCATTATTCTGCAGACACAAGATCTATTGAGATTTCAGTGAAAACTCTTATCTTTGAAATCTATAGAGATCATAATTTCTGTATGGTTCTAGAGCTTTATTCTAAATTAATGTTAAGATTGATAATTTTAACACTGCTTAATAATGTGCCTTGATTATTATTTAATATTTAATCTTGATTATTTAATAATATATTATTTTTGGAGAGCAAGTTACTAGCATTGACCTAATCTTTTAATATTTTTAAGTTATTTTAAGTCCCTTATAACGATAAACTGTAAAATATATTCCAATTTAAATTTGTAGCTTGCATTTTCCTTAGAATGAATTTATAGATATCGACGTGTTAGGTAAGAAAGCATGTTCATCTTTGCAGACTAAAGTATCTGCAGGAAACAGATACTACTGAAAGGCTCAGTCAACATAAACCTTTATCACATATTTGTGAGCCTGCCCTCTTCTCTCTTGTGCTAAACCTGATAATTGTAATTTTTAAAATTGCTGATTTTATAAGTGCCTTTTGGTTTTAATTTGCATTAAAATATCATGATATTAACATCATCTGTTTGTTTTGTTTCTACTTATTTGTTTTTGAAATAAGGTTTCACCATGTAGCCTAATCTGATGTCAAGTTTACAGTGTAGCCAAAACGGGCTTTAAATTTGGAATCCTTCTGCTTCAGTCTCCCAAACAGAATTGTAGACCTGCTTCTTCATACTTGCTTGGCTCCTTGCTGTGTTCTCTTCTGGGCTTGACTAAGGCCACACAAACATTAGCCTGGTCAACTACAGCCCTATCTGAAATCTGACTGTGCTTTTTTCTTACTAATTTCACAATTTCCATATCTCTCCTGTCTGTCTCTTCAGGATACATCCCCACTGATTCTGCTGTTTGCAGAGCCATTGCTCAAATAGCCAGGGATGCATTTCCAGAAGCTTCTCTAGAGAAAGTATGATACCAGATTCATACAATCTGTCATTTGGGGGGAGGGAACTGTTTCAAGGTACAGAGTGATTCTCAGAAGTCCTCTCACAGATTTTGTGCACGTCTATTAAATCTCTTCTTTATCTACAGAGGGTAGAACCTGCATTGCAGGAGACCAATGGATGGCTGAACCTTTGAGAGATAACAAACCCAGCATAAGATGTACAAGTGTGGTTTTCCTCACATAGTCACAGACATGATAAGGTGTCAAATATTCACCTTTGACACAAAGCAAGTGCTTTATGGCTTCTTTTTATACATCTGAATTGCCACTATCACTATGTGCAAGTATGTGCGA